AACAGAACAGAATAAATAGAGAATGGAATGGACTGGAATAGAATAGAGAATAAAATAGAATAAGAATAGAATAGAATAAGTAGAGAATGGAATGGAATAGAATAGGGAATAGAATAGAATATGGAATAGAATAGAATAGGTAGAGAATGGAACGGAACAGAACAGAATAAATAGAGAATGGAATGGACTGGAATAGAATAGAGAATAAAATAGAATAAGAATAGAATAGAATAAGTAGAGAATGGAATGGAATAGAATAGGGAATAGAATAGAATATGGAATAGAATAGAATAGGTAGAGAATGGAACGGAACAGAACAGAATAAATAGAGAATGGAATGGACTGGAATAGAATAGAGAATAAAATAGAATAAGAATAGAATAGAATAAGTAGAGAATGGAATGGAATAGAATAGGGAATAGAATAGAATATGGAATAGAATAGAATAGGTAGAGAATGGAACGGAACAGAACAGAATAAATAGAGAATGGAATGGACTGGAATAGAATAGGGAACAGAATAGAATAAGAATAGAATAGACTAAGTAGGGAATGGAATGGAATAGAATAGAATATGGAATAGAATAGAATAGGGAATAGAATAGAATAGGTAGAGAATGGAATGGAATAGAATAGGGAATAGAATAGAATAGGGAATTAAAAAAACCTTTCCTATTGATAATTTTACATACATTTTACAGGTGTACATATATAAGAATCTGTATGTAAAGAAAAAATAATGAACTTTTTTTTTAAAAAAAGGAAGTGGGGCGGAGTCCCAGGCAACCTTTTGCCAAGGTGGGGGGGAGGGGCTGCCCTCCCCTCCTGCCCTCCCTCTTCTCACCTGGATCCCATTTGGGTAAATCTCTCCCTCCAGGGAGTCCACCAGCTCCTCTTCGTCCAGGGTGGCCCGCTTGTAGGTGGACATCTGAAAAGCGGAAGGGCAGAAAGACGCTCTCAGCACATCTGTGCCCCACACCTGGCTCTTGTGCCCCCACCGGGCCCCACATATCGTACATCTGCCGACTCAGGCCACAAAGCAGCCAACCTTCCCATAAAGCTGGCAGTGGGGGAAGGGGGGGCAGGGTGCAATTCCCTCCTAGCCTCAGCGTCCCACCTTCCCCCTTTTAGCCCCACACAGCTCAGACCTCCCTCCTGCTGGAGAGGGATCGCCTCTGGGCAAGGAAAGGAAAGGCTGGCAAGAGAGTTCCAAAACAGGAAGCCCATCCAGGCAGGCGGATACCAAGGGGGGGGGGGTTGCGAAGCCACATTCCTTGCGGAGAGGCGCTTCCTGGAAAGCCAGCCCCACAATGCCTGCCCCTCCCCTGCCTGCCCTCCTTCCCTGCCCACAAATCCGGAGATGCCCGTTGTCTGGAGGTGCCTCTCGGCGCCAACCCGACGGGCACATGGCAATGCTTGAGCAGAACCAGAGGAGGCTCTGCCCACAACACCCACCAGCCTTGACCCGGCACTGCCCCACCGCACCGTTCCAGCCCCACAGCTCCGGTTAGACTCCCCAAATTGCCTGAAGGGCTGCCCCACCGACCCAAATATCCTCTTCTTCCTGGGAGGGTGTCCAAGGGAAGTGGCTGAGCACCCCTAGGGAATCCCCCCACCCCACCCAACCTCCATCCCCACTGGCTCCTGGCACAGTGTCTGGTGGGCTTATCTGTCCCTCTCGGCTTCCTGTTTCAATGCTGGTGGCGCCTGGGCTGGTGCAAAACTCCAGGGCCATAACACGGAGAGGCACTGTAGCTTCTCTCTTTGGAGCTTCAGCCCAGTCTCGTGCCAGCTTGGACCCTCCCCAGACACATGTTCTAGGGGGTGCCACACAACATCACTAGCAATTCCAGAAGCCCCAGTGGCAAGGGTGAAATGCTACCGGTTCTGGCCAGTTTCGCTAGAACCGGTAGCCAAAAATGCTAAGGTTCACCCAAGCCGGTAGTTTAAAAAAGCTTTATCATTGGCATTTATCACCAACACGATTGGCTAAAATGTACCCAAACATGAAGCCGACCTGCTGGAAGTGTAAAAAAGTACAAGGGAC